GCCTTCTATGCTAAGTTGCATGAATAACTTGCTTGGAAGATTTTCTTTCTTTCCCACTTTGTCCCAATGATTTTAAGAGAGTCACGTGAAATGCAAATTTGAGAAAAGTGGACTTGTGTGGTTGATACCAAATATGTAAAGTATGTAAAACATATGGAAGAATTTGAACTACATAAATATGGTATGAGTTAAAAATTTAGCAACAGACCAGAATGGTAATATGGGACAAACATAGTGGGACAGAAATGTGGAATTGTGTTGTGTTGATATTGACTTTGTGAAGGATTATTTGATCCACATAAATATTGCCAAATATGGTATGGACCAAAATGAAAAAAAAAGGGTCAAACATAGTGGGACAGAGGGATTAATTGATAAGCAATTTACACACCGTAGACTAAATCAAAACAAAATAGCATATTGACCACTATATACACTTTATACATGTACCACGAGATATACACACACCATACACTCAGTTCCACAAATATTTGCATTCTGCCAAATGATCAAACGACTAACCTGTGTTGAATACATTTTCAGAATTCCTGGCTTGGAAGGTTTCCAATAGTTTCAATGTATTTTCTAGTTTTTGTTTTAATCGTGAGAGGACACCACCAAGTTCAGTGTTCTGAGATGTTAATTCTTGCTGAAGCTGAAATATAAAGGTAGAGAATTCTATGATTGTTACTCGACTATTAAGAAAGGTTAGTGATCACTACAACTGATGCATTAATTTCTAGGTAGTGTTCTTAGTTCTATAAATGTACAATAGTAAAGAATATCAGTATTTAACAAAACAACTTGAGATGAGATGTGATTAATAGAACACAACAACAACAACAACAATATGAAACCTAGTATGATCCCTACTCCATTGGGGTTCAGGGGGCAAGATGTAAGCAACCTTACTCCCGTAAAAAACAGAGAGGCTGTTTTTGTCACACCCTTGATGCATTGATGCATTTACTGTACAAAACTTCATGCAAAGTATGAAACAAAGGATTTTTTGCCATTTTGATATAGTCCATGACTGACTCGCAGCTAAAACATCATAAAAAGTGATTCTTTGAGCTCCGTTAGCAAAGAGCTTGGCGTGGTTAATAAAATTGAAACATAAGATATGAAAGTTGTGTTTCTCACACCATTGTAGGCCAATGTGATCTTTCCAACAAGAAAAGAATTTCTTCAATATGTTCTCGATTTTTCCACATGTTCTCATCTATTTTGTGAGGTGGGATACTTTCTGCTTCTCGAAGCAATACGCTTTCTCCTATCAAAACATCACCACCAAATGATGAGTCTCCATACATTTATAACTACAACATTTAATCAAATAATGAATATTTAAAACATTTATCTTTCCATGAAAGAAAAGTAAATGAAGAAATTTCAAATAAAAATCACTTAAAAATGCCAATGAGGGGATAGTTCAGAGGCACTTCATTACACTCCTGATCTATCATGAATCCAGGCATAACATTTTCTTTTAGTATTGATCCTTCAATAAGATAGGCATAGTGAGACTGCAGGAAGAGGCAGTCCATGAAGAAGAAGCATAATGTAAAAACAAGAGAGGCCATGAATCAGGCATGAAATATCAGAAAAACTAATAGAAGCAGACCTAATGAGCATTTCTTTTATTTAGTTGAATGAGAAAAAGAGGATGTCATATTGAACTCCATAGGGCAAAGATGTAATCTGTCCATACACACAGTTTGAATGAATGCACATATGGGGTACATGACTGCATCTACCACCCTTTGGTCGAATCGAGTTTGACAATAACAGCTAACTATGAAGCGTGATTCATTGATTGGGATGTCAGGATTAGCCCGGGGAGGATCCATCTGGACTGAGATCTGAGACATCATTAAACAGTTGGTGTTGTGGATATCCTATTTGTCAATTTATAGACTCTTAATCTTAAAAAGAAAAAGCCTTTTTTATGCTAAAAAGACAGTCTTTAGTTGTAAAAAGAAAGAGCTGTGAGTGTATATGGGACAAATGGGGAATCCACCCTCTGGGATACATTCCTTCACCACACTACATTACACCAAACTCACTACTAACCTATCTTTTCCCATATCCGGTAGTTATGCTAAATAACACTATACTCTATCATGGCCACTTATAGATTGCTAGTCCAAATGGCAACAAAAAAAAAACTAACTTCTGAAAACTATCAAATATCGTAATCAAAGTTCTTCATAGAGTCCATTTTCAATCGACATAAAAAATGATTGATGTAGCACAATAGCTCGAAATGAAATTTCACAACCGACAATAATATCAACAAATTGCAGAGAGATCCGCTCAAGTAAAATTGCAGAGAATCAATCAAATGGTCATTCATACCCTCACTCAAGGGAGGGTCCTGCTGCAGATCACGCACCATGGATCGGATTTCATCGCAAAGAAGAGATACATCGTCGGAGAGAGGCGAAAACGGATATTTGTCATAATAAGAAGCCAGAAAAGTCCTGGTTATCGGCACAAGTCCATCCGTAGACGCCATTTTTCTTAGTGCTGTAGAAGTGCTGATCTTCCTTGAACGGTCGCCGGCGCTACTTAGAACTTCATCCGGCAGCCGCAGTGGAATGTTGAATTTGGCCGGAAAGTCAGCCGGTGAGAGATTTTTGGAAACTAAACTACAAATTGGAATCAGGAGAAGAAGTGATAGGAAAGAAATACTCCGTACGGAGTAAATCTTTAGTCTATAGTGTGATTTTTGTTCACGAAAAGTTTGAGTCCTAAACCTTAAAAAATGTGAAAAATACCCTTCATAATCCTTTGTCTATCATATAGGAATATCTTGAAAGAGATTTAACTAATGGTGTGTTTGGTTAGGCGTTAAATATTTTCCAAGTAAATTTTGATTTCATTTTCATGTGTTTGGTAACATTAGTGGAAGAAAAATATTTTTTTACCAAATATTGGATGTCCTAACACACGACGATCCACGTCTGGTTATTATGTGTTTATCAGAGATAGTCTAGTATCCTGGTCTTCTAAGCAACATGCAACAACGTCCCACTCGAGTGCAAGGGTAGAATATCATGTCGTGGCAAATGCTGTTGCCCAGACTGGTTCGATTTGAAACCTCCTCCTTGAGTTTCAACAACCTCTTTAGTGCACTACATTAGTTTTTGCGACAATGTGAGTGTTATTTATCTCTCTTCCAATCCTGTTCAGCACCGATACACCTATCATTAGGGTTGTTCACATTTAGGTCTGAACCGAAAAAACTGATCGAACCGGACCGTTAGGTCCAGACCGAACCTAGATCGAATGGATTTCGGGTCGGTCTTCGGTCCAGAAAATTTAGGCATTCGGGTTTCGGTCCGGTCCGGTCCAAACCCAAAATGATTTAGGTCCGGACTGATTGGATCGACTGGACCTAATGACCCTATTGGACCTAAAAGACCTAAATACTAAAACTCTGCTTTTTAAGTTCCGTATTACACTTTGATGCCCTATTTTAATAGATATTTTAATTTATTTAATTAAAAAGGTTTTTTATTAAGTAATTTTTAAAAAAATCTAAAAAAACGTTCATATTTGTTTTTATGGTTTTACATTGAAGTAGTTCATATTGTGTATCCATTTTAAGTTTGCCTATTTTTTTTATTCATTTTCTATTTGAATGGTGCAAAGTAAAAAGTCTAAAATATATTTAATTGATCAAAATAATTAAAAAATATGTATTTTTTTCGGTCCAGACTGATTCGGTCCTAAATATTTTGCTCCAGTCTGGTCCAAACCCGAATAGATTTAGGTCCGGTCTTCGGTCCTTGAATTTACTCATTTCGGTCTTCGGTCCGGTCCGGGTCAGTCCGATCTTAGACCGATGAACAGCCCTACTTATCATGTTAAAGTTAACATCCACTTTGTTCGTGACAAAGTGGCTCTCAGCCAGGTCAGAGTCCTTCATGCTCCTTTGTCCTCAAAATATGCTGTCATCTTCACAAAATGACTCATTTCTCCTCTTCACCGACTTCAAAGTCAACCTTGGCATCAGACCACCCCCACAACCGACGTAGCCGGGAGCATGTAAAAGTATTGTACGTATATATTTAATTTTTAATATTGTACTAATATTCTTGAATTGGTAATTACCTTTCTTGTAAATGATTCCTTTTATATATTCCTACCTTATTTAGGACTGGGAACCTAGTATATATTGTTGTAATTATCTCATTATTGAATCAAGAAAATTAATCATTATTCAATTACGAGGATGGACCGATATTATTTTCTCTTCAACTTATTTAATTGTAGATGTAAAATTAAAAAATAAAGTTTATATAAAAAAAACGACATAAAACTTTTTTTAAAAAGGCGAAATTACTATTTTATATTATGAAATGAGTAGAAAAAATAAACAAATAAAGTACAAAATAAATAAACAAAGTGAAAAATAAATAAACAAAGTGAAAAATAAATAAACAAAGTGAATAAAGTTTGACTTCTAAAATAGAAAATGGTTATTAATCTTTGAACGGAGGTGGTATACGTTTTTCTTGTTTTATGGAGTATCTTTTTTTAAAAGATACTTCAGTGGTTTAAAATTAATCGTTAGTCAAATTTTTTTTATCTCTTTACGTAAATTTTTAAATCACTTGTTAAATTAATATAACCATTTAAGTATGTAACCATTTGTTTTCTAAGAATTTTGATATAGTTCTATGAAATTTGTAATAAATAGTACTGAAATATATGATACTCCGTATTATATTCGAAAAATTACAATGTTTTAGTATTATTTAGATAAATTTTCCTTCTTTTAATAAATACATTTTTGTTTAAAATTTATACTATTATTTGAATAGATTAGACTGAAAAGTATTCATTTAAATTTTGTTATTTGTAATGAGACAATTAATTCAAGAGGAGTGACCATATAAATTTTGTTTTATTAATTTACATTATCATTTTTTAAGTGCAATTGACTTACTGAATTTACTTTAACCTGAAAAAAAAGCAATTTGTGAAGGAATATGGCATGCTTGTCATTGGGTGGCAGCTGTGGAGCCAAGGAAAAATAGTAGCGTGTGGGCGTGTTTACAGGCTTCCTTCTTCTTTCTCCTCCCTCCCCCATTCACGAGATCGGGATGACTGAGAAGCATTCCAGCTAAGAGCCGGGGCGCAATAATCGGACGACGGCGGCGGCGACGACGCGCAGTGATTGGCCGAGGAGGAATCGCGATGGGTTCAGGGCAGAGTCACCCCGACAGCGCACACCACACGTTTAGAGTTCTGGCCACCTTGCTCATCGGCGGTGCGGTGCTGGGTCTGTCCGTCATCGGCTTCCGCCTCGCTCGGGCGGAGGCCGGGCGGAGCAAGAAGAAGAAGAGGGGCCCGATTAGGGTGTACATGGACGGATGCTTCGACATGATGCATTACGGCCACTGCAATGCCCTCCGTCAGGCTCGCGCCCTAGGCGACCAATTGATCGTTGGCGTTGTCAGCGATTCTGAAATCATCGCCAATAAAGGCCCTCCTGTCACTCCTCTTAACGAGAGGTTTGTTTCATTGCATTTCCACGTTTTCCTCCCGATTTGTTCTATTCTTATTTTGAATCCACTCCTCAAAGCCTGGAACGAAAAGTTTAGATGGATGCTATGCAAGATACTACCTTTAATTTGATTAAGTTCCTGTATGACACTTTGATTTCCTTGCTCGAAGATGTAATCAATGCTAATTCCATTGAGAGATGTCTGGAGGAATTTGAGGCATTAAAAATTGGGGAACTTGCAATCTCATTCTTCTATACATCTTAGCTCCTTATTGTGATGAACCACTCAAAATAACCCTCATAATTCTAGTCGGGGTTAGGATGCTTTAACAACGGTGTTGTGGTCTTGTGGATGTGGCATTTCTTGTTCTTCTATCAGATCCCTCAACACATTTCAAAAGTATCTCTCTTGCTTGTATATTTTGTAGGATGATAATGGTTAATGGTGTTAAGTGGGTAGATCAAGTTATCTCTGACGCACCATATGCTATCACAGAAGATTTTATGAAGAAACTTTTCAATGAGTACGATATAGATTACATCATTCATGGTGATGATCCATGCCTTCTTCCTGATGGTACTGATGCTTATGCGCTTGCCAAGAAGGTAGGACGGTACAAACAGATCAAGCGCACGGAAGGAGTCTCAAGCACTGACATTGTTGGTAATTTTTATGCTCCCTCTAGATCTTTTTCCATATGCATCCTTATCTCCCTGTCAATAGAAAACAAAAAGAAAAAGGACTAATGAGTTCCAAAACATGAGCTTGATGGTTAGAAGGGTATTGTTGGAATCCATTGTCATTGGAGCTATTCACATCATTTTGATAATATTTTAGCTTTGGGAAAATGATGGACTATATGAAAGTGATGCATTAAAACTCCCTCGCTTACTTTCCATGAAGTTTTGGGAAGTAAATGCATAATCATAGGTGAAGTTGTATACAGTGTGACCTCATTTGTTGTTGGCCAGGATGGTATTGTCATATGCTATGGTGTTGTCTATATTAATATTCATTATCCACATTATTAGCCCACTCAAACATCTTACGTCGCATTTAATTTGCACTTGGGTTTATAATTACAAGAGCTTTATGTTTCTGCATATCTCACTCTAAAATACTGCCTATGTGAGTAGGCCGAATGCTTCTTTGCATGAGAGAGAGGTCCACTCGAGATACCCCTAAAAATTCATCCTTGCAACGCCAATTCAGTCATGGTCACAACCAAAAATCTGAAGGCGGTGCTACTGGGATATCTCAGTTTCTTCCCACTTCTCGAAGAATAGTGCAATTCTCCAATGGGAAGGTGTGTTTCACCCTTTCTTTCCTACTATATACGTAATTATATTTAGCATTTAGTGCAGAATCAATAAACACAGTTTCTGACATGCATATATCTTAATAGTCACTTTTAAAGTAGAAATATTTTCTAATTCTGTACCTCTTCACCAATATGTGCCAAAACAACTGATTCGTTTCACTGGGACGACCTTTGAATCAATTAGTAAATCATTTTTTATCCTTCTATATTCCCCATGTAAATTTACTAGTCACTGCCTTCTATTGATTTTAATTGATAAGATACACTGAAAAGAGTACTATGGTACATCATGAAAAACCTCTTGATGCTTGATATGTTCTGGAATTTTAATATAGGGACCTGGACCGGATGCTCGCATAGTTTACATTGATGGTGCATTTGATCTCTTTCATGCAGGACACGTGGAGGTGTGTGATAATTCATATATCGTTTTTTGGATCACAATTTCATCTAGCATGATTGTTATATGCCACATATTTTCTATTGTAGCTTAAACATAATGTTGCTTGGCCCATCTCACACTGTAGAGTTACTTCCATTGTCTAAAAAATACTTGCCCGTTTTTTGTTTTGTTTTTTGCTTTTCGGTCCATCCCAAAAAAACATTCTGTATCATTCATTACTTAACCATGGATTGCAGATCTTAAGAGTTGCACGGGACCGCGGTGACTTCCTCCTTGTTGGCATTCATACTGATCAAACTGTTAGGTAACCATTCAGTTATACATTGCTCTGCATAGTGTCTTTGACCGAGAGCACCAACCTTTCATCATCATTGTAGAACTATTCAAAAGGAATTAGTACAACAATATGGATTATGATTTTGTTTGGCTATATATCTACACATGATTTCAAAAATTTGGCTATATATGTGAATGAATGCAAAGGTAAACAGATCGAGACTTAAAAACTAGGGCTGCTACTTATGTTGTTACTGTTACTGAGAGTAGTCACAAAGTTGATAATATAAAATGGAGGAACAGGAGTTGAAATAATATCACCTTCTGGTTCTTACTCTAATTTTAATAGATTGTTTCGAATGTGAATATGATTTTTGCAAAGGCAATGACGATAATGTGTAACATTTAAGGTGTAACATGATTGAAAGGTATGCCATTCTCTAGGCTAAGACCCAGGTTCAGCTCTCTTTACGCCCCCCACCCCAGACCCCAGCCAAAGAAAAAAAGCACATTTATAAAGAGATGATGATAAAGGGTTCTAGTAACTTTTTTTGAAGCTGCTAAATGCTACTATTATACTGAGTAACTGTGTAAAACAACCAAAGATGTAACCACATCCTTTTTTTATGCTGTCTCATTAAGTCCTCTAGAGATTACTAAATGCTTGTAGAGAAAGCAATCTTCTGGCTTCTTATTTTTATTCTTCTTCTGTTGTTCTATTGGTCCTATGGTGTTGAATGTTGACTGATGATGTAGTTAAGAATACATAAATGAACTGCACTGTTAGTCAAAATGAAAGGGACGGAATTGAATATGCAAATTGAAGATGTATATTCTACTCTATTGTGTAGCCCAATTTGCTAAGATTTACTTCAAATACAACTTTTGCTGTCTTGCATAGGTGATGTTTGAGAAATGATCTTGCAGTACTTTCCAGCTTTCGTGTTTTTCCAAGGGGTGGTGGATTAAATCCACAGTTCCATAGACTCTTGAAAACTTCTAAAGAAACAGAATTTAATTGATTTTAGTTGACTCTTAATGCCCCCTTCGTTGCATAATTTTCTTCTGGTGTTGATTAGGCTTACTCTCTAATAAAGTAGAAACTGTGTAGAAACGGTGTGGTTGAGGTTTATGCCGAGTAGGCAAAATTATATGAACCAGACTATTCTTCTCTTAAAAAGGAAATTGTAACTAAATTTGGGGACATCCTAAAAAACATGAAATGGATTATGGCACAAACATATTAGTTTTTACGGACTTCTTTTATACCTTAATGAAATTTAAAGAGGTCCTAAAAGTCTATGTGCGCCATTAACTATATTGCGTTAAAGAGTTCCCTACATGCATTGCTATTGATTTAAAAGATGCATTACCGTTAATGTGTTAGCTTCGGGTAAAAGTGAACTAAATCAAAATGACACATTAAACTTCATTTGCTTAATTTCTATGAAGTTTTGGGAGTGGACTTAATCAAAATGTCACAGTATACTTCACTTGCTTCTCACAATCTATGAAGTTTTGGAAGTGGACTTGATCAAAATGACCCACTAAACTTCTTCTTCTTCTTTTCTATGAAGTTTTCATTAGTTTATGAATTATGCAGCAATGCAACAATGGTCAAATGAAAAATGGCCTTTCTCTTTTTACACGGGAAAGATTGTGTACATCTTGACCTCTTAGATTCCCACGAAGTTGGTGTCATACTGGGTTTATTTTTGTACTTGAAGAGTTCATCGGTTTTTTAGATTTTACAAGACAGTCTATTCTTCTGGAGTGATGCAAGTTTGTTTATTTTACTCAGCTTTTTCAGTTGGATTCTAGGGTGGCTAATGAATTTATGTTGGTTCTAGTAAATGCATGGATGAGTTGCAATCTTATGACCTTTTGCTGTCCTTTGCAGTGCCCACAGAGGTGCACACCGTCCAATAATGAATCTTCATGAGAGAAGTTTAAGTGTTTTAGCATGTCGTTATGTTGATGAAGTGATAATAGGTGCTCCAAGGGAGGTGTCGAGAGATATGGTAATCTTTAAACTAAAACATGTTGATCTGTCTTGGCATTGCTATCCCACACTAGTTATAGTTGTGCTTGTGATGCCTATATATATACTCCCTCCATCCCTAATTGAGCGTCATGAGTTGACTTTGACATAGTTTAAGAAAAAGTGAAATTGTATGGTGTAGGTTTATGCAGAGTTGAGAGAAATAATGTGAACCACTCATTTCTTTCCTTGAATGAATACTGACTTTTATTTTGGGCCATCCAAATAAGGAAACAAGACATTTATTTCAGGATGGAGGGAGTATATTTTTTCAAAGTGGGAGAGTTAATCAAAGATAAGGGGTGAAAAAGGAGAAGGAAATTGTTAGATTCTCAACAAGTGCTCTCAGCATATGTAGTCATACCAATTGTACCCTCTACTTTTTAAAGTTGGGTAAACCATCAGATTTAACCTTTGACTTAATTGCAGTGAATAGTGGTGGGTGACAAAGCAGAAACATGTTTTTTGGTTCATAAGAAGTGCCTTAAAGTTTATAGGAGTATCTAGCCTTAAAAGTTGGTTAAAACCTATGACTTAATAGGGGCAACTTCAATGTTATCTGCAGCTTTATGAATCTAACATCGTAACTTCTACTCAATTTTGTTCCAGATAACAACATTCAATGTCTCATTAGTTGTTCATGGGACCGTAGCGGAGGACAATGACTTCCAGAAGGTACCATTAAGTCTCGTTTGTTTCATGGTTTACCACGGTTATCCATGATTTATAAATGGATAATCATGTATGGACAATGTTTTAGAAGTTAATGATGTTGTTGGTTTTACAGGAAGAGGGAAACCCATATGCTATTCCAAAAAGCATGGGCATTTTTGAAATACTTGAGAGTCCGTTGGACATTACAACTAGCACAATAATAAAGAGGATTGTATCGAATCATGAGGCTTACCAGGTAAGGATTACACCACTTCTCCTCAAGCATATGCAATAGTGATCGTAAAACTTTGGAAAGATTAGCTTGCATGCTTGATGCCATGCACGAACTGGTTATCATCATTGATGTTGACTTTTTATGAGATCTTAAGGCCGCATTTTTCGAGTGAGTTTGGAATAAGAAAGTGTGAAATAAGTTGTGATGGTGAGGTTAGTTACAAATGCTGTGGGTGAAAACAAATGTGAAAAACGATACAGAGTAGTAGGTTATTTATATATAAAAAACTGTGGCGCTGTAGGTAGTTTTTTTAAAAAAAATCTTTTCAATGAAGATGCGTTTAAAAAGACACAAGTTATATATTAAAAAAATAAAAATGCGACAAAAACCAAACTAAATATGCTTCACCCCAGCAATCTAATCGCACCACAAGAACATAGCAAAGAATAATTCACGTAAGAGATCAAGTTGAGGGGTGGTTAGATTTTTACATTCATAATTTAACCATTTCTCAACAAAAACTAAGAGTTAGGGGGCTCTAGGGCAGGCATACAATCAGCTTTTCTTTCTGTGATTCGATCACCTGGTTAAGGATGCAGCGATATTTTGAGACACTTGTTTGTTGTGTAGGCAGGTGATATTAATAAGTTTTGTTTATTTGATTCAGAAGAGGAACGAGAAGAAGGCAGAAAGTGAGAAGAAGTATTACGAGGGAAAGACATACATTAGCGATTAGTACCATCCATCGTAGATTTTACCTTCCATTGTTTACTTTAAAAGTTGATTCCTTTTTTGTATCTGGTTTCTGGCAGGGGATGCCATAGGATGCAGCAGTTAGTGTCAGCATGTTTGTTTAATTGTTTATTTCAGGGTTCTGGTATATGTGCCTCCCTCTTTGGATACTTACTTTTCTCCCTTTCTTTATTCCATAGTATGTACCCATGTCACCAACTGAATTATAAAGAAATTTATGGTCTGTTTGGCACACGGAATGAGCAGAATTGAAATTGAATTGGGGTTGAAATTTTATGGAATTGATTTTGATGGAATCGAGTTGTCCAATTCAAACTCATATTTGGCAATACCAATTCCAAATCAAACAGCAGAATTGGAGTTGTTATCCCCAATTTCAGTTATGGTATGTTTGGGAACATGGATTTGGATTTCAAATCTGGATTTGGCTTAAATTCCATGTTTGGGAAACTTAAGCATTTTGAATTTGGATTTGAATCAAATTCTTTGCATTCAAAACAATGTTTAATTTAAAATCCATGCACCTCCCCTTGTCATTTGAAATTCAGGATTTCAAATTTTAGAATTGAAATGCATGAATTGAAATGAAATGATAGTTGCCAAACACTACCTTATATAATTTGAATTTTGTGTACCAAACGCAGTCTAAGGGTTGGTGAAGGAAGTCCATAGTCTCTTTATCCTAAAAAAAAATTGCACTCTATTCATCATTAATATATCTATTCATAAATATTGAAATGCATCTGTTAAGAGTGAAACACACACATGTTGAGGTCTCTCACACAATCACCACAATGATTTTGCGTTTGTTTGGGAATAATGTTTGTGATTGATGATAATATTTTGTATAATTTTTCAATAGTGTAGATTATATCCGAAAATGCTCGAGTCTTTGGATAACATTTTCTAAATTTTAGACCCAGATATTGAAGTTAATACAAAGTTGAGTGTCTAGCAACCTAATATGTTGTCATGACAAACTTTTGTGAAAGATTGTCCTTGATAGGTTTTGGAGGGCTATGTGTTACTCCACTTGTGATTCTTCCTACTCGACCTTCGTGCTCCACTTTTTTGCAATGTTCTGAAAACTGGACCGGATATTGAACCAGACGAGCATTTGGGTCAAGAATTAACTAGTCGGATCGGGTCAACGAATCGATCAATTGTAATTAAAATAAAACATGTTTAATATATCAATATTTTTAATAAATTAATATAGATATTCTTACCTAAAAAAAATATTTAAGTTTGTATTTTCTTCTTCTCCACCTACTTTTTAATATCATTTTTCATATAGTACTCTTTCACACTTTCAAATTTTAATTTTTATTACCTTTATTAATGTTTTAGAATTTTTAGTTTATTCAATAGACTTTTTAGTTTATTGAAATAAATAAAAAAACAGAAAAAATAATGTTCATTACTTTTTTATAAAAAAATATTTTGAAAATTCTTAAAATAAGAACCTTACACAAATATATCTCTAATTTTTAAAAAATGCAAATATAACTATCTTGTTAAAATTTTGAAAGTTTTCTACAAATATATATACATTAGCTAGGCGCTATCCTAAAATGAAGGCTGTGCAATGAATATATAAAAACATTTATACTTTTATAAACATAAAAAAACTTACTCTAGTAGTGCAGCTGGACGGAAATGATAGTGCTTAAGCTAGAAGTTTAGGGTTCGATTCCTAAAGGCTATAGGTGTAGATTTTTGTAAAATAAAACAAAAGTTACCTTGGAGCCGTGAACCCTTTGGGCGGAGCCGGGTCGTACGGTTCGACTGTTCTTTGCGGGTCAAACCAAAAACGAGTTTTATTTAAAGACCGGACCGGACACTTGTAGAATAAATAATTTCCAATGAATTATTATGGGAGATTACATGTGTATATATACAAGGATTTCCTAATCACACTAGGAAACAATAATAAATACATCCTATACAAATATGGTAGCTACCAATATACATGAATATTAAATATAGTAAGAATATATTTAACATGCTCCCAACGGCACTAATGAAGAACGCCACACGCCCAAACAATCTCGAAACTCGGAGAAGAGCATGGAAGGTAGTCCCTTGGTGAATATGTCAGCATACTGCAATGAAGGCACATGAAGAACTCGTATTTGACCAAGAGCTACTCTGTCGCGCACGAAGTGAATGTCGACCTCGATGTGCTTTGTGCGCTGATGCTTAACAGGATTTGCAGAAAGGTAGACAGCACTGATGTTATCACAGAAAACGATTGAAGGGGGAGTTTGCTATGACAGATATGGGTGACCTTCACTTCTTTCTTGGGATCAATGTTCAGTGGACCTCTCATGGCCTGTTCTTCACTCAGACACAGTTCATTTATGACATCCTCGAACGGGCCGACATGACTTCGTGCAAACCAGTTTCTACGCCCGTGGATACCCGCGGGAAACTTTCGGCCACCCTCGGCGCTCCTGCCCCGGATCCCTCTCTGTATCGCTCCATTGTGGGGGCACTGCAGTACCTCACTTTCACCCGCCCGGATATCACCTATGCCGTCCAGCAGCTGTGATCTGCTGAAGGAGGGTAAAGGATGAAGCCGTGAGGACAATGTCATCAACATAAAGCAGGAGTATAGCCATGTCTTGTCCGCGACTGTAGACAAACAAAGAAGTGTCGCTCTTACATCCACTGAAGCCAAGAGAGAGGACAAAGCCCGTAAAGCGCTGGTACCAAGACCTGGGTGCCTGTTTGAGCCCATAGAGTGCCTTATTTAATTTGCAAACATAATGTGGACGAGCATGGTCCTGAAATCCTGAGGGCTGAGCAGTGTAGACAGTGTCAGTAAGGTACCCTTGCAAGAAAGCATTCTTGACATCAAATTGATGAATCGGCCATCCTCTGGACACAGCAAGGCTCAAGACGATGCGTATAGTGGCAGGTTTGACAACCGGGCTGAAGGTCTCGTCGTAGTCGATGCCATGGCGTTGAGAGAATCCGCGGACAACCCATCGAGCTTTGTACCTGGACAATTCACCTGTTGGGCCAAGTTTGTGTCGAAAGAACCATTTTCCAGAGATAATATTTTGGTCAGGGGAGGGGGGTACTAAATCCCATGTATGATTATCTACCAAAGCATTATATTCATCTAGCATAGCATTGTACTAGTTAAGGTCTTTGAGAGCACTACGGTAGGTAGGGGGTATGGGGGAGATTGTGGCAACAGTGTTGAGGTTGAGAATTTGTCTGGGACAGAAGATGCCAGACTTAGCTCGGGTGACCATAGGGTGGGTGGGGGCTGGCGGGTTGGGGACAGATTCGGTG